GGGGGGGGGGGGGGGGGGGGGGGCAAATAGTGTTGCCCATGTCTGTCCTGTCTCATCCATGACATTTTCTAGTGAGTATTCGGGGATAATCCAGGAGTGGACCATGTAGCCATTTACCCCTCTGTGTTCCAACTTTCTATAGCTTTAACATAGAATGGCTCCTCATTATTTTGATATTGACAAAAAAAATGCTGAAATGGCCCACTACTCTAAAATTCCAGGATTTTCCCTGGGTATTGAGGTAAGATGTCTTCAAGATATTGATAATGCATGTACAATATCGGGGATCAATCTAGACTTGATTCACCACCGTTTGTGGGTAGTTTCCCCTACAGAAGAAAAATCCCGTTCTTTGAAATTCCCCTATATTGTCACTGGATTGTAGTACTTTGGTACCTGTTGTAATAATGTAATAGTTTCAATAAACTGAACATTTATAATAATAACAAACATTGAGATGTTCATTACTAAATATCTGCCTGTTCTCGGTATGTGTTTGATTTTGCTAATTTTTATTTCCAGGACGAAGGTCATTCTGACTGGACATCATGTGTGAGATTCTCTCCCAACACCTCCAACCCCATTATTGTCTCCAGCGGCTGGGACAAGATGGTCAAGGTAAGTAACTCCAATTTTTGTAACATTTAGTGTAGCCAAGTCAAAACATTGTGCTTACTTTACACCCAGAAGTATTGTCTATATATGGTTGTGTAAGAAGAAAAAAGACAGCTAGTAGTTTGAATGTTGTAATATAGTATCAAATTTGGGTTTTTCAAAATCCATTGATAGCGTCAAGGATTTCAGTTTTATGAGATTAAAAAAATTCCTTCAGTCGTTACTGGAATGAAATTGTATATGCAAGAATGATGAGATTGTTGAGCATTGGGCAATGATACTGATGATTCAAATGCTTATGCTGACTTGCATACTCAGTGGGTTTTTTGGCCTGATGTACAGCCGTCCAACGGCTGCTTCCCCTAGTCTGATAATTACGTATTTTCCCAAAATAAAAACAGATTTCCCAAATAGAATACCTGTTAATTTAGTCTTTGTTTGCTTATTGTTGTAATCTATGATTTTATCAAAGCACGTCCAAAGTGTATGTTAAAATACATTTTGAGTATGAAGTATGAAGGTGTTTTATGCGATTGTGATCCTTTTCTGATGCATCTTTGCGACTATGGGGGCAGTTCAGGGGACTTCTGTAATGGTCCTCCATTACAATTAGTACTTGTTGCACATGTTTCAAATAGATTTATCAGAATTTGGATGTTCCGATTATAAACCATAATCGTTCATCAAAGTAAAGAAGTTTTCTGATAATCAATTATGATTTCCGCTTCAGATTCCCAACACTAATGGTGTTACACATATCCTTGTGGAATGAAATGTGCAGCCGTTTTTCAACTTACGTAAATTGAATTTCTTGAATTGTCTGTCGAACTATAACCAAGATAGTTTGGAATTTATAATCTATACATATTCATTACTGGAATGAATTAGTACTGCAAGAATGATGAGATTGTTGAGCATTGGGCAATGATACTGATGATTCAAATGCTTATGCTGACTTGCATACTTGTGTTACACATATCCTTGAGGAATAAAATTTGCAGCCATCTCCTAAAGTTTTGTAAATTTAATAACTTTAATTGTCAGTCCAGCTAGGGAATTTATTTTCTTGCATGCTAGACCAAGATATCCGCATTTCCAGCGGTGCTGGAAAATTCTATCCGACCCACGGGTCTAGATCGCTTACACGCGCAGACTGGCGGAGGAATTACAGTGACCTTTCGGGGTCACGCTATTGTTCGCGACATCATTTTATGACGTTTTTGGGTCAGTCAGGGTCATTGGCGTCGCTAACAATTGCCATCCGGGGTTCATATGCAAATGAGAAATGTGCGGACAGTTTACAACTTAACTAGAAGAGCAGCTGTTTTAACGGGTTTTAGGTAATAAGCAAGAAATAGAATCCATCCCTGATGCAAGGTATGGATAAGGTTATTCAAACCAAAGGGATATAATATTGAGCAAAAGAAGCCTCAGGTCTCCTGCTCAATATTTTATCCCTTTGGTTTGAATAACCTTATCCATACCTCGCATCAGGGATGGATTCTATTAATCTATACATTTTACTTGGTCATGACCAGAACGAACAAGTACTGCAAGAATGATGAGATTGTTGAGCATTGGGCAATGATACTGATGATTCAAATGCTTATGCTGACTTGCATACTTGTGTTACACATATCCTTGAGGAATAAAATGTGCAGCCTTAAAGTTTTGTAAGAAGGTTACTTGAAATACCAGTCCAACTAAACCAAGATTTCTACATCGAGAAATTATTTTCTGTACAGGTGTGGAATCTAACCAACTGCAAGCTAAAGACCAACCACATTGGCCACGCCGGTTACCTTAACTGTGTGACAGTCTCCCCTGATGGTTCTCTGTGTGCTTCTGGAGGAAAGGTACAGTATAAAACAAAGAAATTGATTGAGGTTTCTCTTTTAACTGTTTGTCACTCCTTGTATTGATGTAAAGGAATGTTTGAGTTCTCTGTGCTTTGTTTTCTATACAGGTCATCTTCTGTAAACATGTTTTTGTGTTTGAAGGCAGTACACTGTCATGACTTGAATCTAAAACTTGTTGTGAATAAAAAAAAATTGCATTCTTCACATTCCTGGAAATGAAAATATGATCTACAAGAAAACATTTAAAAGGTCTTGCACATTGCATTGTTTCTTTCGAGTTCAATCACTTTTTGTGTTTCGAATTGTGAATGTGGTTTGTCTTGTTGCTTGTAGGATGGACAGGCCATGCTCTGGGATCTGAACGAGGGCAAACACTTGTACACCCTTGATGGAGGAGACACCATCAACTCGCTCAGCTTCAGTCCTAACAGATACTGGCTGTGTGCAGCCACAGGTTCCAGCATCAAGATCTGGGTAAGATTTGTAGTAAAATGATCTGACAAGGACGCATCCAGTTTAAAGAAAACATTTTTTACTTCCCTTTTACCCTTTGTATCATAATCCTGCTTTTCTGGATTTGTGACAGGGGGAACATTTACCAAGAAATTGGGTTTGTGTGTCGAATAAATGGGATAATTTCTGATCAATATATTCAGGTTTCTGCTTTTTAAAACGAGGCTTTTTGTAGTGCATTTCAAATCTGAAGATGCAAGTATTAAAATAGTACATGCAAGAATGATGAGATTGTTGAGCATTGGGCAATGATACTGATGATTCAAATGCTTATGCTGACTTGCGTATCTGAAATCTATAAAGAGAAATTGTGTTGATGAGCAAAATATTGATCAGAGAACTTTTGTGATTTGTCATTTACATAAAATGTAATTCAAAGTTCCACTGGGCCAAAATAAAAAACATGTTTGTTTCCCCTCGCCCCGACTGGGTCAAAAATGAGCCCCAGAGTTGAAAAATTATTTGCCCCCAAAAATAGGGGGAAAATAGGTAAATCTTTAAAAAAATCTTCTTCTTCTCAACCAATAGAAGGATTTTGACCAAATTTGTCCTAGAGCATTTTTGGACAAACGGAGGATGTGGCCCCTCTGGGGGCGGGGCCCAATAGGGGAAATAGAGGATTTTTTTCTCCTACTATACAAGTGAAGGGATTTAAACCAAATGCAGTCTGAAGCATGATTAGGGACAAAAGAATCAATTTTGTATAAACTGAGGTGTGTGGGCCCCCTTTGGGGCAGATGGGTGGGGTCCATTAGGGGCAATAGAGGAAAACATTAAAGATCCTTCTCTTTTTGTACTAATGAAGGCAGGGACTAATCTAGCCTATTTTTGCTGCCGTTAAATGGCACTTTCCCCTCGAGAAAAAGGTACCAAATGTGTATTCCATCATTGCTGTCAAGCGCACAAGTGACCCGATTTACGCATGCGTAACATTGCGGAAAATTGCATCTTGAAAAACATAAAGATAAAATCAACCAGACATCATGTCGCACAAGGAGGGTTTTTACGTGTAAAAATTAAGAAAGAAAGATGTAATAGGGAATCGTAGTATATATGCAATGTTTGCCAAACAGGCAAAAGGTCGGACAGAGTCGGAAATTGATACACATCCCCCAGACAGCAGTGAACATGCAACTACGTCGTCGAGTGCAGCGATGCCCGACGTGACGTTACTGTAGACATAGTCTAGGCGACAGTACCCTAATCGGATCACCAAACTATCATTTTATTAAATCATTGAACAAATCCCTAGTAGGAATTGTATTCATTTATGGTTGTATCAAAGGAAAAATATCTGAGTGTTCTTACAAACGAAATTAGCACCCGGGGCTCACTTGAGATATTTATAAAACGTTCTGAAGTCATCAATCATCGTCTCCGGTTTTGCGAATGTCGGAACCCAAATCGGATCAAGGCTTGAATTTTGCAGTATCTTACGCTTCAAATGAATATTTTTTGTCAGCATATTAACATTTTATGATGACCTTTAGAGTTTATATGACAAAAAGGATTTCTATAGTGAGGATTTATTTTGACATAAACGTTTCAATACAGAAATGTACGAGTTAAAATATACATGGCTATATTATAGTTATGTAAACAGGCTATTTTTGCAAAATTTGTGAACATTACTCAGGTTACAAAAAATTAACTTCGTTGTTGGGACTGGTCTGCTTTTTGGGTGACCATCATACAAGACGTCTAGAAAGTCATGAAAATGAACACATTCACAAAAATGCTCCCCAGTGATCAAGTTCATAGTGTATCCATGTCATTTTTTCCTGGTCTTTTTATTCTAAGAAATAACAGCTAGTACACATACATAATATAAACAAACATCGAGACAGTCCGATTATGCATCTTTCCCTTATTAGGGGGGAAAATCCCCTTTTTACAGCAAGGGCACTTTCCCCCATAACCTAGATTAATCCCTGGAAGGGATTTTGACCAAATTTGGTGTGGAGCATCATTGGCCAAAGGGTTCTCGGTTTTGTATAAACGGAGGGTATGGTCCCCCTGAGGGCAGATGGGCTGGGTCAAATAGGGGCAAAATAGGTTAATCTTCTTCTCAACCAATTGAAGGATTTTGACCAAATTTGTTCTAAAGCATCTTTGGACAAAGGAGCCTCAAGTTTGTATAAACGGAGGGTGTGGCCCCTCTGGGGGCATAGGGGCGGGGCAATAGAGGATTTTTTTTCTCCTACTATACAAGTGAAGGGATTTAAACCAAATGCAGTCTGAAGCATGCTTAGGGACAAAAGAATCAATTTTGTTTAAACTGAGGTGTGTGGACACTTCTTTGGGGCAGATGAGTGGGGCCCATTAGGGGAAATAGAGGAAAACATTAAAGATCCAATGTCCTTCTGTACCGTTGAAGGGATTTTAACCAAACTTGTTCTAGAGATTTATAAATGGAAGATTTGTCTGAAGCATGCTTATGGGAAAAAACTCAATTTGTTTAATTTGTATAAAAAGGTGCATGTGAGGCCCAGTAGGGGAAATAGAGGAAAATTGGGACATAACATGGGAAATCATTTTCTTGGTGTCTTTCCAACCAAAACAGATTTGTATGTAGTTCTTCTCACAACTTTGTTTCTTTTACTCCTTTGATAAACCTGTTTGGTACTCAGCAGGTTTTAAATTGAAAAATAAAATACCAGGTGAGCTATTAGTGCCCCTGGGCCTCTTGTTTTTTTTATTACTTTCACGATAAAATCGGCAATGTGGTGCCCTAAAATGAAATGCGCGCTGGCCTGAGAACCAAGTTATCAATATTTTTTGGCCTTGTGCACATTTGAAAAATAAAGTAAATTAATTTATATTTCAATAATTAATTCAGCAGTGGTGTCCCTTTACATAGAAATCAATGTAGCAGCCTAAGGGTTAATAAAAGCTTTAATAACTGTCAAATCAGAAAGAAGTAAATATACACTTTAATGCTACATTAGTTTTATGCACTAAATGTGCATATTTTGATTAGTGCTTGAAAGCAAAAGGATTGATAATCTAAATAAATACACTCAAATTGGGCACAAACAACTGATAAGTGGCCTCCAGTTGGAAAGGGGGAAAAAGTACCTGCGGCGCCTGGTCTGTTTACAAAGAGTCGACCCGGGGGAGGGGGAAACAGACATTCTTTTAAATGTGGCCCTGGAGAGAAAATTCTGGTAAATTTTGTGGTTGATGCATGATTAATTTTGGTTTTGAAAAATGAGTATCCTTTTTGAAATGTAATGGAATTCTTTAGTAGTTGTTCATTCTATGCAATTTTTGATTTGCAGGATTTGGAAGGCAAGGTTGTGGTTGATGAGCTGCGACAGGAAGTGATGTCAACCGGCACAAAGGCCCATCCTCCAGACTGTATTTCACTGGCTTGGTCCTCAGATGGACAGACACTGTTTGCTGGTTATACGGATAATCTGATCCGTGTGTGGCAGGTCTCAATGGCAACAAGAAGTTAACTGGCAAACAGTCCTCTATGAAATTCTTGACTTTAAACTATGTATTGTCGAACAGGCAACATCGCGCAAGCTCATTTGCGACAGTCCTCCAATAAAGTGCTGCCATGGAGAAATTACTCTTGTATCTTTATTTCTTTCCTTATTTTTGTACCAGATTGTTACACGACATCAGTGCTTTCACTGAAAACATTCTTATTATTGAAATGAAAAACAACTAAACCCAGAATTCATGTTGGAAAACATTTTAAGTACAACACATATGTTTAAATCTTTTAACCCTTTGAGTGCTAGTCACAACTATAGTTGCACATTCTATAAAATAGTATTTTATATGGTCAACAGCTAATCGTGTTGATTAAAATTATATCAAATAACAATTTCCATTGGTATTAATATGTTTTAATATTAACACAAGTATTATTTTTGCAATATTTTTACTAACATTGTCACTTATGAAGTTATATCTAAATTTGAACTGCAGTGAAAATTAAATTTTCCTAATTAATTCAGCACTGATTGGTTACCGTCTGTTATTTTAATGTAGCACTCTAAGGGTTAATAGGTTCTTATGAATTAAACACTGATATTCTGCCTGTAGTTGTATTTTAGTCCACTTTTAAGATTACAAGTGTGAGATTGATACCAGGTGAACGATTCGGGCCCAATGGGCATCTTGTTCCTTAAAATAGTGCCCGATTCATACTCGGAACGTTTTGAGGTTATATGTAATTCCCTGGTAAAATTTGGAACACCATTAGCTTTTATGCTATTTCTGTTTAAAAAGGAAATTGATATCTGAGTTTTCCAAAGGATTGTAATTAGCTCCTGGTATATTCCGACAGATGCATACACTTAACAGCCCAAGACAACAGAGGTCAAAATCTGGGACTGAAATTAAGTCCCAATGGGCGACTAAAAATCAATAGCGCTTTTGAATTTATTTTATTCATCTTTCATCAAATACAATGTACCAGCAACATCCACTGGTCTCGCACACAGTAACATAAACAACACTAAGATGATGTCACATAACACAGTATTTCTGAATACCCAGGCAGGCAGTCATTTGGTCGGTCTTAGGTGCCGTACCCCATGTAAAATCAACCTGTTGAGGACGCTTCAAAAAAAGTTTCTTCTCCTTAGCAGAGATTTGACTCGTGTCTTGAAGACGTTCTTATCCAAAGTTGATCAAGTTAAAAATATTCGAGGGAAATTGGCTTAAATTTCGCAAAATAGTTTATTTGCATACATATGTAACTTGTAATAAATAAAAATCATATGGAAATAATTTATTTTTTTATTTTTATCTCAGTTGTACTTTTGAGGTCAATTCTCTCAAACATACTAAAAGATTTATCTACTGTAGTTAACTTTCATTCCTCAACAGAAACGCATTATGCATGTACACATACTGCAGTAAATATTTTCAAACTTTATCATATTTTGGAATCAACTAAAAAATCTTAAGAGTGAAGAAAGAATTTAATGGAATAATAGCACATTATTAAAATAAAAAGAATATAAAACATTGGTCTTGAATTAAAACACAAAAACAGAACAGCAATAAATATTGAAGGGACATTTTTGCAGAAAAGCATGCTTCCACAAAAATCAGCAAGTATAATTGCTTGTGTGCAATTTAATTGTAGGAATCGCATGAAAGAACTAGCGCTATCGTAATGTTAAACTTTTCAACTCTAAAATATGCGCCAGCGCATTTACGAGTAAACTACAGAAAATTATAATAGTTCATAAAGCATATATATATTTACAACTACATTTTTCTAATTCACAGAAATATTTTTTAATCCCAAGTCTGACATAATGAAATATATAATTGTATATCATCAGTTATAAGTACCTTCATTATGACCACAGCCCTCAAAAGACAAGCTGATAACAGGAATATTTAAGAATCTATGTACGGTAACATAAAACAAATCTAGGCAAAATCTTAGTTGGTTTCTAAGAGTAAAACAATACCATATCATTTAAAATCATAGAATTACTTGCATAACAGTTTACAGTCTTAATGTGCATGGCTTGCAATAATATTTGTGTCGACTGGAAATGCTATCCAAGTGAGATTAATTTGATCACTGTACTAAGGGAGACAATTTTAATGCTTACTATAATTACTTCCCTTTGGTCTAGATTGGTAAGGCATGTAATGACTTGAAAGTTAAGTAGCTTAATTCACCGTTTCGAGTTGTTGCTTACAACATTGATAGTGTCATATTACATTTGGCCTCAGTTTGCCAAATATTTCTAAAGGAAATTTTTGATCAAAGATTTTCCATAGAATAGCATTTGTAAAGCCGAGAAAAAAATTCCTTATAATTTTTCCAATTCAATTTAAGTTTGTTTTTTAAATCTAGGAATATCCATCAAGCTGGGGCTTGAACCTATTTATTAACCATTGCAGTAAGAGGCTTTTGTTCTCCTGGTCAGAAAAAATGTAAATAGTTGACCTGACCGATCATGTTGCTACCACAACTGTAAGCTACATATATATACAAGAGGCCCATGGGCCTTAACGGTCACCTGAGTCCTACAATATTTATTTTTGTTGTTGAAATATGTACCAATTTGATTAAAAAATAGTATAATGTTAACTTAACTTTGTCAGGACCATGAGCTGATCATTCCTAGACCAATTTTAAGTGAGATCGGCCTATTAGAACTAAGTAGCAAAATAGCGGCCATGGCAGCCAAATTGTATTTCTGATTGACCCGAAAAATAACAACACTTTGTCAGGACCATGATTCGATCATTCCTACAAAGTTTCAGTTCAATCGGCCAAGTAGAACTTTACTTTAAGTTTGAAATAGTTTTTCAAAATGGCAGCCGTGGTGGCCATATTGGATTTCTGATCGACCCGAAAAATAACAACACTTTGTCAGGACCATGAGTCAATCATTCCTACAAAGTTTCAGTTCAATCGGCCTAGCAGAACTTGACTTTAAGTTTGAAATAGTTTTTCAAAATGGCGGCCGTGGCGGCCATATTGGATTTCTGATCGACCCGAAAAATAACAACACTTTGTCAGGACCATGAGTCGATCATTCCTACAAACTTTCAGTTCAATCGGCCCAGCAGAACTTGACTTTAAGTTTGAAATAGGTTTTCAAAATGGCGGCCGTGGCGGCCATATTGGATTTCTGATCGACCCGAAAAATAACAACACTTTGTCAGGACCATGAGGCGATCATTCCTACCAACTTTCAGTTCAATCGGCCCAGCAGAACTTGACTTTAAGTTTGAAATGTAAAATGTTAACGGACGACGGACGACGACGGACGAAAACGGATAGCAATAGGTCACTTGAGCTAAAGCTCAGGTGACCTAAAAATCTACATAGCTGGCACCTCTAAATGCAAATAAATATATTTGAATATATATTAATTTCTCAGCCCCGTTATAATGCCAAATCTATCTTGGGACATAAATGGTGGCAGTGCAACAAGGGTAATATTCTCTGCTCAAACTGTATAGTATGTAATACGTTTATAGGTGTCCTAACATCAGTCTGGTAAAATGTCATGTTGGAGAAGTGACATTAAATCCAATAAAAAATCATTTAATATAAAGAAAAATTATGGTAGAAAATGTAAAACAATGAAAAAAAGACGCAAAAATACTGAAAATTGTGGATTATATAGAAAATACTGTCGGATACGATTACACAGTAGTAAACTGGTCATCAGAGGACTAAGGATGAAAGATATTTTGGATTAACGTTATTCATTTCGGCATAAAAACAAAAGACAAGCAGGACACAACACTAAAGAAACATTTTTTTTTTTTTAACTTTGCACATTGATAAATATTAAATTCCTATTCCTATAACAGTTATATTTATTAGCTGTCTACATCCCCATCCAGGGAAGAAAATTATCAAATGGGTTTGGGTTTAATACAGGGTCAGTTCTGTCCAAAATGGGTTTGGGTTTAATACAGGGTCAGTTCTGGCCAACATGGGTTTGGGTTTCAAACAAAATCCGGCAGCAACAGCAGGAAGATTATTTAAAGTCAAAAGTTGTCATCTGATGTGTTTGTTCATAAACTGATCTAGGATCTCACGAATACGCTGTTTTCATGGTAATTTTCGGACTCTTCTACCTAATATATATCATGTCAACATAATATACGATGACATATGCCCATGTAAACATGTAAACATATATACAATGACATGCTCATGTAAACATGTCAACATATATACAATGACATGCTCATGTAAACATGTCACCATAATATATGATGACATATGCTCATGTCAACATATATATGATGACATATGCTCATGTCAACATATATATGATGACATATGCTCATGTCAACATATATACAATGACATGCTCATGGAAACATGTCAACATAATATATGATGACATATGCTCATGTAAACATGTCACCACAATATATGATGACTTATGCTCATGGAAACATGTCAACATAATATATGATGACATATACTCATGTAAACATGTCTACATATTATATGATGACACATGCTCATGGAAACATGTCAACATAATATATGATGACATATACTCATGTAAACATGTCAACATAATATATGATGACACATGCTCATGTCAACATAATATAAAACTTCGGTAGGTCATGATCAGTAGGCAGGGAAAATGTTTTTCTTATTAGATGTATTTATATACCAGTAGTTATCTCGACAAAGGTCACATATTTATATACCAGTAGTTATCTCGACAAAGGTCACATATTTATATACCAGTAGTTATCTCGACAAAGGTCACGACTTCAACAGTGCATTCCTAAAATTGGCTTGAAAACTTTAAGATGGATCAGTAAGGAAAACTGAAACACCCAGTTTATTTTTGTAGTCCAAGGTTATAAGCCCTAAGTCAGGACTAGGCCGACTATACTTTCCAGATGTAAAATGGACTCTGCTAGACTAAAAAAATCTGTTCAAATTTTTTACATTTAATATATACATGGTATATGTATAAGCAAGGCAGCAACTAGCTCCCAGAACATGGAGCTATATCATTAAACAAATATAAATAGTTTGGCAAAACCTCTAACAAAACATGTTAAGACTGAAATAGTGTTTACATTAAATACAAACAGTAATCATAATCACAATATAAAATTAATAATTTCTCTCTGTAAAAAATTATAAATATCACATACCATGCCAAATCCTCTCTCCATTTCACAAATGCACTGCATTCTTACCATATATCCTAAACATGAACATTTTCGCTGGGGTCTGACTTAAACAATTTCACTTATAGAATGTGTAATTTATTTTCCAAGCTGTCTTACTGATTTATAAAAGAGGGAAAATTAGTAACATAACACTCTAATCAGCACGAATATACACTGCACAGACATTTCCACAATTTATTTTTAACTCCTTCACCCCAAAAGACAAATTTGAACTCTTCTAATTCAAATGTTTGAATAGTTCATTTTGAAATTTTACGGGTGAATGTGTTAAAGGTTGTTACACAAGCAGGTAATCTAAAAGAATCGAACACAAAATAAGCACAAAGTTCCCCATCCTTGAAATTCTAGGGGTTGCGCTCACTTGCGTTTATTGCACCCCGGGAATATGTCACGAAGAATTTGAAAGCTGTGTACCTGCCACCTTGTGGATGGTACAGGTGGACTATTTTGATCCTTTTTTGTACATCAAAAGAATCGTGGGGCAGTGTAAAAGTACAAATTGACAGACTTTGAAGTAAAATGTCACTGTAAGGTATCAGCTTAGCGATTGGTCAGGTTGTGTTTTTTACCTGAAACCAATCAAATCACTAACCACCTGCCTCCAATTTTGTCATGACATATTCCAGAGGTGCCGTGAAAATTACCTGTGGAATTTTAAGGGTGAAATTACCCCCGCACGTAAATTTCCATGTTTATAGAATATTATATGAACAGGTAACCTAAACCTCTCCGATACAAACATTGTATCGTATGAAACCTGAATATTAAATACATGTAACTCCATTTCAACAACTGCATTATACATGATTAATTAGTCATCATACTAATATGTGGAATCAATGTTTCCCTCCTACACAAGTTTTGTCAAAATTCATGCATATTTTACCATTCTTCTGTCCACCTATCAGCCAATCAAAAACATATCCAATAGCCATCAGAGTAGTTTTCGATACCCGTTTCATAACGCACTTAATTTACATAACATCAAATTGCAAAAAATGTTCTTTATGAAAGTTCGGTTAATTTAACAATGTTTATACACAGCATCAGTCATAAGTATTAACAGTGCTAATAAAATGATGATAAATTTGGAGAGCTGTCCGTCAACAATTTCTTTAAACGACTTCTTCTTAACCACTGATTGGAGTTTAACTAAATTTGACTGGAAGCATCCCTAGGTGGTGGGGATTCAAAATTGTACAAATGGTGGGGCTAAAGGGCAGACCAAAAGGGGGCAATTTAGCTATATTGCTATAAAAGACTTCTTCTGTAGAACTATGCCATGGATATCGATCATATTTTGTCGGAAGCATTCATGGGAGGCAGGGATTCAAAATTGTACAAATGGTGGGGCTGACCCCCTGGGCTAAGGGGTGGGGCCAAAAAAGGTTTATTATTTGGAAATGGTTGAGATCCCCACCATATAACCATAGAGTATAAAGAGAAGAATGCACATTTGCTTCAGGATGGCCCTAGGGTCTGGCCCCACCCTTGGAGACATAGTCCCTGGGTCATAACTTTAATTAATACGGTTGAGATCCCCACCCCAAAACTATATATACAATTGTTGGGCATAAAGAGACGAATGCAGTCATTATATTAGAATTGACCCCAGGGTCTGCCCACCTTTGCAGACTTAACCCCTGGGTCATAACTTTGAAACAGTTGAGATCCCCACCCCAAAACTATATATACAAATGCTAGGCAAAAAGAGACAAATGCAGTCATGATATTAGAATTGATCCTGAGGTCTGACCACAACCCTAGGGACCTAGTTTCTGAGTCACAGCTTGGAAACAGTTGAGATCCCCACCCCATAACCATACATAAAATTGCTGGGCATGAACAATCTAATACAGATATGCTACAAGGATTGGCCTTGGGGTCTGGCATATTCTCTTGGATCTCATTCGGAGAATATTTTGCCATGATTGCTTAGATATCCAGGTGAGCGATACAGGCCCTCTAGGCCTCTTGTAATCTTAAAAGTGGACTAAAAATACAACTACAGGCAGAATATCAGTGTTTGATTCCTAAGAACCTATTAAAAGATTGAAACACATGACGCCTGTGACCTTGAATGTCGAAAAAGGACATTAGGTTGAACAGAGTTTATAGTCTTCCAACCCAGCTTGCTTCTGGCAAAATATCATTACCCTGGACCTTTTGGTTATACAGAACAAATCATTTAAAGATTTAAACATATATTGACCACTGTGACCTTCAATATGGGCAAAGGTCATTCACTTGGTAGTCCTTCATTCCAGCATGTTAATGACCAAATATCACCCTTGGCCTCTGCTTATTAAGAAGAAGTCGTTTTAAAGTTTTTAACATATTTGACCCCTGTGACCTTGTATATATGTCAAGGTCATTCATTTTAACAAACTTGGTAGTCCTTCATCCCAGCATATTACTGGCATTATCCTAGGCCTCTTGGTTGTTTAGAAGAAGTTGTTTAAAGGTTTGAAACATATTCAACACTTGTGACCTTGAATATAAGTCAAAGTCATTCATTTGAACAAACGTGGTAGCCCTTCATCCCAGCATGCTACAGGCCCAATATCAGTACCCTGGGCCTTTTGGTTATTGAGAAGAAGTTGTTTGAAGATTTTACAATATTTGACCCCTGTGACCTTGAGAGTGGGTCAGGGTCATTCATTTGAACAAACTTGGTAGCCCTTCATCCCAGCATGCTACAGGACCAATATCAGTACCCTGGGCCTTTTGGTTATTGAGAAGAAGTTGATTGAAGATTTTACAATATTTGACCCCTGTGACCTTGTGAGTGGGTCAGGGTCATTCATTTGAATAAACTTGGTAGCCCTTCATCCCAGCATGCTACAGGACCAATATCAGTACCCTGGGCCTTTTGGTTATTGAGAAAAAGTTGTTTGAAGATTTTACAATATTTGACCCCTGTGACCTTGAGAGTGGGTCAGGGTCATTCATTTGAACAAACTTGGTTACCCTTCATCCCAGCATGCTTCAGGCCCAATATCAGTACCCTGGGCCTTTTGGTCATTAAGAAGAAGTTGTTTATAGTAAAATATTGACGCCGGACGCCGCACCACGGGCCAGGTGAGCTAAAAATGTAAAAAAAATCATTGCAGGAATAATATTCTTATCTATTTCAATTGAATGCGTATTTTCCTTAAAATTTCGGTTACTACAAAAGAATATGGAATTCTGATTTTCAAACGACAGTTATAATTCCTTAGATTTTTTGTTCACACCCCCAGTAAAAGGGTGTTCTACTGTATAAAGTTATTCTACAAAGAAAGCACCTGGATATAGACAAGCATTACTCTTACATATGCTTATGACAAATCACTGATGTCTTACAAAGCAAAAATATCGTATTTTTCCTAAAGTTAGCCCCGGAGCTAACACATGATATCTGCCTCATAGAAGAGGGGTGAGCTTATAACAGGACAATGAAAAAGCACTTGTTGGCATTTTAACAAATCTGCAATAGACATGGGTGTGCTTATTACCAGACATGGGCTTATTTTCTGATAATTACGATAACCAATGTTTTATGCTCACTGAAATTTAGTACTGCTGATATTTTTTAACAAGAAGCAACTATAAAATCGATCAAAAGAGACTGCTTTTTACTTTTTTAAGGGTGATTTTGAGTAAATTACCCATTTTTCTGAAATTTTCATTCAAAGAATGATCCAGAATGCACTGCAGACATATTTGTGGCAATATTTAAAAACGAAATCTTTGCAATAAAAAGATTCTTTTTTGAAAATGCGCTGAACACTGAAATAATTCTGAGGTGGTCTTTGCCAGACCATACGTTAACCATGCAATATATCACCAGATAAAAATTGTCAGCCCTAAATTGGGTCACATGAATCAAACAAGTTCCATATCGCCCGTGGGAATCACATCAACGTCCTCAACAGTTTTTTTCTCCTGTTTGTGATGTGAAATAGTTTTGATTCGTTCACAGTCTGTCACGTTGGCGATAGAAAGCACACGGTTGTATGCTTTCCATTTCTGACAAAGTCTTCCATACATTTTACACTGCACATACATAAAGACGAGGCCACCCGTAAAACCAATGGCAACCACAATAAGTTTGGTCCAAAATGGCCAGTCCAACGCTCCGGCCTCCACTTCCTCTGTCGTCCGGTCGATGAGCACGTATAGGGACCAGATGACGCATGTTATGGCCACTACATGGAATGTGACTGAACAGGTGATCTTCCTCCGCTCCACCGTTGACATCTGGAGTCTTTCCCACTGAAAAACACATAAAGAAATAAGTTTATACAGGAACATATGGTACAATAGTTTAACAGCAAAGAGAGTAGTGTGCTTCCACCGGAGATCGAACCTGCGATCCCAGACTTCCAAGTCGGATGCTCTACCACTGAGCTAAATGGAAATTCCCTCTAGCTCGAAGCTTGAAGCTAAGCGACCGTAATCCAAGTACACTTTAATGTATATTATCTGCCATATTAGTTTTCAAGCATTTCACAAGTTATCAAGCAATAAATTATAAGAGGAATACCCTACAATTTATCTCATATTTTCCCCTTGGTTTCCTCATTTTATTTTTTCAAAGAATTGAACCATATTGATCAACATTTGTAGTTATTAAATAGAGGTAATTTTCCTTTGCAAACTGTAATAGGCGTTTGTGGAATTGCCCGTTTAGACAATTAGAATTTCCCTTTAGAAGCCTTCAGGTGACTTCTCCCATGTTTCCATTGAAACAAAGTTTTTTATCTAGGAAAATGAAACATTTAAATACTTTTTCAGCACCTACTTTTAGTAAAATACAAATTAAAGCACTTCCAAGACCCCATCATAATTCATACACTTTTCAACCCTGTAGAAAATGTATGACAGCTGGACTTTTCATTTGTGCACACAGCATATCAACATTTATCAAAATATTTTTATTTTCATATAATTTTTTAAAGAATAGAGATTACTGTCAGCATTAGGTAGACACTGTCAGCATTAGGTAGACACTTACTTGTATAAAGGGTTTGACCTTTGAGGTCATTTTGTATTCGTATTTGCAAAGTTCGCAGCACGTTTTGTCCGAGCTCTTTATCCACTTCTGCAGGCACGCCTGGTGGACATACTTCATGCTGCCCGAACATAGACATGGCGCCACAAGCGGCGAATCTTCTTCCTGATCCAAGATGTCGCACTGACATATCCGACACAAGTCTCCGCCTGATGACATCATCGACAGCCGGGTTTCACATCGCTCCGACAGTTTTGGGGTCGGAGATTCTAGATGGTGCGTTTCCTGTAAAATAAAAAGTTTAGAAAACATGAGGAAATGGTACAAGTCTGTATATTTTTCAACTTTTTACTTTATCTGTGTTGGCATGCATCTCCATCTTTACCAAGATTAGACAAATGTTTCAGATTAAAATTGTGAATTTCAACTCCTGAATTGAACATTTCATGTTAAACTTTATGTAATTTATACATATTTAACAAAATAAAGATGCTTTTAAAACTTTGAGCTGAAAAAGCTAGACAAAGTACTGCAATTCTGGAAAAAACCTGGCTCAGTCCATTGAACCAGACATATTGCTTACTCAACCTGCATTGATGAACATTTTGCACAAGAGAAAAAAGAATATTTTTGCCAAAGAGATAGAAACACACAGGGTTTGAACATGGGATGAAACCAGAGTACCCAAAGAAAACCCAAGTATCCGGGCAGGTGACCCATATATAACTTTTCGCAGTTGACCAAGAAATGGATCAAACCCCGGCTGTCTTGGTGAAAGGTGTGGACACTAACCACAGTCTCATATGATGGAACCCCAAAAGACGAGATAAATATCATTATCCAATAAATATTTAACATGACAGATGAATATGTCAATACGTGAAATTTCCATTCCTCAGAAAAACATACAGACTTTGAAATTCAGGCATTACTTATCTGAACCTCGTCAATAACAGGATATGAAAACCAACTATAAAGGTCTATAAATGTATCAAATATGATATCTGCCTGGAAATACTATCAGGAAACATATATACCTGGTAATTTTATACAATTGAACAACTCTTGAGCTTGTGGGTTGAGAGTGTCATATTTCCACATATTTGTTAAATAATACACAATAACCAACTGTTTCATAGCCTTGTCACTTTATTCGAGAACAAAAATGGCAGAATATATGACAAATCGATATGGCCTACACAGCATTATAAATATACCTGTATACTGTAGTACAAAATTGACAATAGTGCATTATGGAGAAACAGGAAGTACACGCTACAATTTATCACCTCCGTTACACCTAAACAACTCCTACAAGTAAACATAATTTACATACACACCTTCGATGTAGTACATATCTGACAAACATCACCTTGCATGGAGATTATTTATTGCAGCCTGAACCTCCATTTATCATGGCGATATTACACCAGCCTGAACCTCCATTTATCGTGGAGATATTACACACCACAGGCACATGTAATATCTGCACTCTTAGAAACAATTCATTGTCAGCAAGCAGAGAGTAAATATTTAAGGCTACATGATAACCCAACCTTATACAGGCATGTGATTTAAGAGTTATTTCCCTTTTTTCCAAAATAATGATAATAATAATATACAACATTTGATATATCGCCCTATCTAGCTAACATAACATAGATATACAATTAATACATTTAGCATATACATTAATCAATACAATTTTGAGGAATTCGCAGGAGCTGCCTTATCAGGCGCTGTAACTAATGGTTATATGCCACCTGGCTAATATCTCCCTGTGTGTGTATGCCTGTGTGAGTGCTGGAGATGTAATGTGTTCTGTTTGTAGTAGAACCTTGCTTCCAACGTTATCATTTATAGTGCCACTTCACTTGAATGCTACACCACAGATACCGCAACATCCACCCCAGACCAATTTATACTCCACCTGGGTTGTTGGAGTTGTGTGGGCAGGAGAAAAACACTTTCTCTGTATCCATGCGTACAACGACTTCGGGGAACGAACCCCGGCCGCCTGCGTGGAAGGCCGGAGTGTTAACCACTCGACCAATCACCCATAAAATACATAATCTTCTATCAATTCCCCTGATTAATAGTATTAATTTATGTAGGTTTGAGTACTCATTAAATGTGTATTTAGTTCACAAACCTATATCAAACTAGAAATAAAGCTGCAGACTAACTTTATATGGTTAACAACTACTTTGTATACTAATGTAGTGTACAGAGTTTCATTGATATCTATTCAGTAATTTAAGAGAAGTAGTCTTGGCATGGTGTTTATGTAAAGGGGTATAACTCAACAAAAGAGTGTTGAAATGAAAAAATATATCACATATTTTTTATCTACTTTGCATACTGATAAAGTGTTTTATTTAAATGTGTGCAGTACTTTAGGAGAAACTGTCTTGACAAACGTTTACAGACTGGGACAGACAACACCCCCCTATAACTTCATTTTTGCCTAATTGTAATTATTATATCTCAATTCTTAAAACTGAGAGTGGAAGTTTTTTGCAAAAGAAAAACACAAGCATATATATGCAAGTGTAACTCATGGATGGTAATTTTTTACCAACTTCATCAAGCTCTCTGCATGAAGATAGAAATAGCCACAATACTTTGATAACTCATAACTGGTTTTAAAGAGCACCTTTCATAACTGTCCAGACAAAATGTGTAAACTACAGTATAGAATACAGACTTGGACTAAATCCATTCTGTTATTTGAGAAAAATAATCTTACATGATAAACCACTGAATTATTAAATTTCGTTAAAACATCCCTTCTGAATGAAACGGCTATCTGCAATATGCAATTTTTGAGAATATCAATCACAATTTACATATAAAGAAATTTAAACATTTTAACCGACCTGGACCGGATGCAAGGGTTGCACATCAATTTGCCGAGATCGCTCAGAGAAAAACAAAACACTGGCGAACAGTTCATTCCGAAACATAGTGCTAATTTTCATCATCTTCCCGTGCGTTTTTTTTCTGGATAAGAAGGGCCCGTTCAGAAAGTATTTATTATATAACTCCACACAAGCACAAAAAAATCATCACAATTTATCACTCTGGTGTCCATAGTATGCTGTTTGTACCTGCACGTCCTTTCCAAATCGATCTACACTCAATTAAAATGAAAATTATATGTTGGAGCTGTCTTCCAAATGGATCATTATATCGATAGCCACAGTAAAGAAATTAAAAAAAATTGCACAAATTTTGAATTGAAATCAGGTAAATATTGACAGCATACTAACGAGAAATATTTATCTCACAGGTAGATTCTTCTACATATGTCTGTTGCCATCTCCTTCACCGAAGTTTTTATACTTCCTATGGCCATACATCGGAATGTCTCTTATACGAAGGAAATGTGCAGCTGGCTGGTCGCCAAAAGCCATAAAACATTTTTAAGAATTTCAGATCATCATTTCCAAAATATACAACACATATACCAACCAGTATATATATATATATTTGAAATTTAACCAGACTCTCTGGGTCAAGTTTATCGCACACATAGTTGAGGTTTATTTACTGGACATTGATAAGACCAGGGGTCACTTGAAAACTATTTTATATAAATAAACAGAGATAAAATGCCATGGTTCAAAAGTTTTACGGTTTAATTTTGACTAATAGCGGCAATTTAATGTTTTCCTCAATCCGAAAACTCTCTTCTTTTTATCAACAGCATTTTTACAATTCATTTTTATGAATAGAGTCCACAGACACTCCCTTAATTAAGATAATATTATTGTCTATGCCAGGATTAAATAAGTCGCATTACTGCAACATTCTTCTGAAATTGTCTACAGATTGAGAATTTTGAACTAAATGCAGTATATGTATTCTAATATTCCATTGGTTTTTAGCTCACCTGGCACGAAGTGCCAAGTGAGCTTATGCCGTGGCGCGTCGTCCGTCGTCAATATTTTACTTTAAACGACTTCTTCTTAATAACCGAAAGGCCTAGGGTGTCAATATTTGGCCAGAAGCAAACTTGGATGAAGGACTACAAAGTTTGTTAAAATTAATGACCTGTACCTATTTTCAAGGTCACAGGGGTCAAATATGTTAAAAACTTTAAACATCTACTTCTCAATAACCAAAATGTCCAGGGAGATGATAATTGGCCAGTAGCATGCTTGGGTGAAGGGCTATCAAGTTTGTTCAAATGAATGACCTTCAATTATATTTAAGGTCACAGGGGTCAATTGTATTAAAAAACCTTTAAACAACTTCTTCTGAATAAACCAAAATGCTCAGGGTGATGATATTTGGCCAGTAGAATGCTGAGATAAAGGGCTACAAAGTTTGTTCAAATGAATGACCTTCACTCATATTCAAGGTCACAGGGGTCAAATATGTTTAAAACTTTAAACAACTTCTTCTCAATAACCAAAATGCACTGGGTGATGATATTTGGCCAGTAGCAAGCTGAGATGAAGAGCTACCAAGTTTGTTCAAATGAATGACCTTCACCCATATTCAAGGTCAAAGGGGTCAAATATGTTAAAAACTTTAAACAACTTCTTCTCAATAACCAAAA